TGACTACCATTATGCCTGAATGTTTTAATTCAACTAAACTAGCATATGCAGATATTAGAATTTTCTGGATATTGGAATTTACCATTTTAAGCATGAATCACTACTTTTTTTTTTTTTTTACAAAAAGGAGCGGGGAGTATTTTGATAAAATTCTATTTAAGAAAAATTATACAGGGCTGGGGAGATGGCTCAGTAGTTAAGAGCACTGGCTGCTCTTGCAGAGGACCTGGGTTTGGTTCCCAGCACCCACACAGCAACTAACAACTATCCCTAACTCCAGTTTCAGGGGATCCAACGCCCTCTTCTGGCCTTCATAGCCATTGCACAACACAGATGCACTTATGTACATGTGGGCAAAACACTCAGACACATAAAATAAAAATAAGCAAATAAGAATTATGCTGTTTATTTTGATCTTTTGCTTAGAGGCCTATTTCAGTTTTACTTTCATCTTACATGAGTAGGAATGTGCGTTTAGTCAGTTTTCTTTTCAAAGATACTGTTTGGTCTTAAGTATTAAGATTTTGCTTTTAAACATTTATATAAAAATGAGAAAATTATCCTTTAAATTTTGCCTCAAAATACTATCAGTAATTGTGTTTACATGTGACTTTAGCCACTTCAAAACCCTTTTAGGAAATGAGGAAGAAAACAAGTTTAATTAGTAAAGCTTTTGAAGTTAATGCTGGCCTGCATTTGAAGTCAAAGCATGTGAGTTCCGTTGGATTGCATTTCAGGTTTAAGTGCGCTATTGTATGCAGAGTATTAAGCATACAGTTAATAATGGCAAATAGTAGATCTGGTCACTCAGCTGTCAGGTATTCTTTATTGAAATTATTCAGTATTAATAAAAACTTTTCCTCATTTTAAACTTATCAGTAATTTTGCTGTTTACAAGCCCAGGGTATATAATCGGACTATTTTTTCTTATCTCTTGAATTTGTTAAACAAATTGAAAGTATAAAGAAACTTTTTGTAGACTTTCTGTGTTTAATTTTTTATACTTAGTTTCATGTAGGAAATAATAAGTTCTGGTATTTTTGTTGATTTTAGAACTGGGCCAAGGGAAAAGTTATTGGAATAGACTTCGATTTTTGGATACCTGTGAATTTATCATAGAGATCTTTTCCAAATCATTTTTCTGCAAATATTTCTTTGTACCTGCTATTGAGCTGAGCCACGATCCAGTAGCAAATGTGAGGTATGTGCTTGGGAGACTTGAAAGCAACGTGTCTCATATTTCCAGTGTACTAAATGTTTGGGGTTTTTTTCTTAATAAATTGAAAAATTAAGTGAAAAATTATACTTGCTTTCAGATTCTCAGTAGTTGTTTTTAAAGATTGACTTAAATAGTCACACATTTATGAGATGCGGTGTGATAATTTAATACATGGATGTGATATGTATGAAAGCATAGCATTTTCATCTCCTTGAGCCTTTTTCATTTCTGTGTATCCAAAGCCTTCAGATCACTGTCTTCTAGCTCTCTACAAAATGTAGAATGAATTACTGTAAACTCTAGTCACCCTACTGTGCTAAGAAGGCTACAAGACATTCCTCCTATAGTAACTGAACTTCGGTACCTGTCATCTACCTCCTTCCCTCCATCCTTCCTGCTCTCTAATGACCACCATTCTGCTCATCATCTTTCTAGCTTCCACATCTAAGTGGGAAGATGCTGTACTTAGCTTTCTGTGCCTGGCTTATTTCACTCTGTATAATGCCCTCCCGATCCATCCACGTTGCTGCAGAGTGTGTATGCATACTTTCTTTTGGGGGGGGGAGGGGGGAGTCTTTTTGAGACAGGGTCTCCCTGTAGACCCAGCTGGCCTTGAGCTCACAGAGATCTGCCTGCTTCTGCCTCCCGAGTGCTGGGATTAAAGGTGTATGCCACCACACCCAGCATGTATACTGTATTTTCTCTGCCCAGTAATCTGTTGATGGAATCTCAGTTGACTGCATATCCTGGTAATTGTAAATAGCATTGGGAAAAGATCTCATTAACACTCATTACTAGCATCATGGAATACTAGGTAAAAATTATTAATATAAAACATTAATATTTGCTAGAAAGGCATGGTTCCTAGTACCAATAGCTTTATCATCTTATGGGCCCAGGAGTCTTACAGAGATGAATCTGTGCTGTTTTCAGTAGCTTCTGCTGAATATGTAGTTTCTAGATCTGCTCTGGGTGATAACGAACGATGTGTTTGTAGACAAGTAGTTTCTGTTCTTCCTTAGTGAATGTTTAACATTTAAATTCAATGAGTTTAGACACTGTCAAAGTTAGGAAAACCCTATTGGTATTCAGAGAAACCTTCTCAGTGGCTAGAAATGACACACTTTCTCTCTAGAGGACTTAGAGCTCCTTAGTTAGATTAAGTGCCACCGGTGTCTGTGGTGAGCAGTGAATGAGATGGAGGCCACTGCTCCTGTGCAGTACGAGAATCCAGAGGAGGAGCATCTTCACCATCTGGATGCATAGGAAGTAAATGCTGTTGTGTGTACAAGGCTCTCAACTGAAGGTTTTGTGGAGACAGCATGCTGGAAACCCTTGAAATGGGACATTGATGTCTCTAAGTTTGCAAAAAAAAAATATAAAACAATCTGGAGATGTGTGAATGAATGAATGAATGAAGCAGCTGTAAGATGGGCAACCACCTAGCATCCCTCTCTAAAACTAGCACAGCAAAGGGAGAGAACTGGAGTTTAGCAAGGCAGAGTGTTTCATGGAACCCCCTTCTCTCAGACGGCTTTCCTTATCTCTTGGACTCCTTGCAGCTCGGCACTCTGCACCCTCCTGTTTCTTTCTTATCCGCCTTATCTAGACTGGTGCCCTTAGCCTGTTCCTACTTCTCTCACTGCCCTTATTACACTGGTGATCACTTCGTTCCCATGTCTAAACTACCATCTACATGCATTCCTGACTTTATCGCTTGCATGGACAATCACCTGGACACAGGCTCCTTGAGCCAACTACCAACTTAGAATTCCCATTGAATATCTTAATAGGCACTGCAGACTCAATTTGTGCAGAATTCAGTCCTTTATCTGCATCTCTTCCTTCTGCTGTGTTCTGTGTCTCACTAAGCGGTTGGTTCATCTTCCTACTTGGCCAGGCCCAGACCTAACCCCCTTTCTCTCCATCTTCCCATCTTCAGACCCTAAGTACATCCTACTGCTCACTACAGACATGCAGAGTCCAGGCTCTTCTCAGCACTTCTGCTAAGTGCCATCAATTCTTGCTTGGGGTCTTGAGTATTCCTTCCCTCCTCTCCTTGACCACCTAGAGTCTAATCTCAAGACAGTAGTCAGATGATACTTATAAACGTTAAGTTGGATCACTTCACTTCTCTGCCGACACCCTCCAGTGCTTCTCAGTGCACTGGAAGTAGTGGCCAGGCTCCGTACAGTGGCCCGCAGGCCCTGCACAAGCTGCCTCTTGTCACCACCCAGGTCTCCTGCTAATCTCATCTTCACTATGCTCTGCCTCAAAGCCAGTGTGCTAATGTGAATGCATTTGCTCTCTTGAGCTGAACTAGTCAAACTCCCTGTCTGCTTGCAGCATTCTTTTTCAGACACTTGTGTGGCTTGCTCCCTGTTCTTCCAGGCCTTTCCTTGAATATCATGTTCTCCATGAAAGCTCTGCTGACCTCTCTGACCTCCCCTGCAGACTGTCCCCGCCACCCCCACTCCGGGCCTTCTCTTCTTTTGTCCTTCGTTTCTCTTCACTGCGCTCGCTGCTGCCTGGCAGACATTTTCTTTTTTGGCTCATTTGCACTTTCCTGCCCTACACTAGAATGTAAGCCCCTTAAGAACAGAATTTTCTGGGTTGGATTCATTTTGTGTCTCGATATCCAGGATCGTGAATGCTTGGCACACAGTAGGCACTCCACAAATATTTGTTGCATGGGCAAATGGACTGTGGTCAGCCTGAAACTAACCGCTTCACTTTCACCTTACTATTGTTCTTAGTTACTAAACTCACTCTAACTCTAGAATGAAACTGTGCTACCTGTTGCCCAAAGTGAAATCAGCTCTGAAGATTCCTGCAGATATGCATCTCCTTCAGCAGCTAGAGATGTGTGTGAGGAAACTCCTGTGTCAAGAGAAAGATAAAGATGTTCTGGCTATTGTGAAAAAAGTAAGTGCCCCCTGCTGAGATGTGTGAGTCCTGCAGTGTGGCATGCCAGGAGATTGGTAGCGTAGTAACTGAGAGTCTTGTGACTTTTCAGGAGTGGTACAAATTGGTAAACAATAGGGCTGGCGTGTGTTCCCCCTGGGTGTGACAAGTCCTTTCCAGGGCACTTCTAAAGAGTGTTCAGTTTTTATTCCTAGCAGTATGAGTTTCATTGACCCTGGTTTACTTTTACCTTTAAGTGAAAGATTGCGATTACATTTAAGCGATTGCAATCCAATAAAACTATCTGTTACTAGAGGACTGTAATGCTGAGGGGTCTGTGGGAGGTACTGAAGGGTTTTAAGCTAACCGACAGTTTACTCCATATGCATTTATCTAAGAGACTTTAACACTCCAAAAATGCTATCTGTTTCTGGAAATTCAGAAAAGATTAGCACTGGAATTAGAAATTAGTTAAATTATATGCATTTAGTACATAGAATGTGTCTCTAAACTAACTCTTCTTGAGGTTAACTTTTCTATAAATTTCAATGGATACTGGCACCAATATGGAGAAGCTGTTTTTAGCACAGTGCAGAACTGGGTAGATTGTTAGCATTTTCTACGTAGCCTTCCACATAGTGCGTGTGGACTCTTCTCTTTGAACCCTTCTGGGGAAGGAGTTTCTTTGAGAAATGGTTGATTGATTGACTTAATTACTGTTGAGTAATTCTAAAAACTTCCCTTGCAGACTGTATTAGAGTTAGACAGAATGGAAATGTCCATGGATGCGGTGAGTACTTGCTACCTTCCAGTAAGGAGTCTTACAAATTGAGTGGACGTCACTAATGATTGACAATGCCATTTTAACAGTTTCAGAAAAAAATTTATGAACAAGATTTATTGGATCAAGAGAAAGAGAGAGAAGAGCTGCTTTTCTTGGAAATGGTACGTTGTCTCCATCCATCCAGGCTCCTTTCTGGGCATCATCACTAGCTGGGCCTCCTTAGTGTACTTAAAATGTTTCGATTTTACATTGTGTTTTCTTCCTAAATAAGAAAAGTCTTGATTTTCTGAAGTTTTTTCCAGAAGAAAAATTATAGTTGAGAGCTTTAAGGAAAATGACTTATTGACTTTATTGAAGTAAGAATAACAGATAACTAGACTGCACATCTTTCAAGAGTATGGTTTGAGTTTTGACATGTGAACATATTCAGGAAACCATCACTACAGTGAGATTACCAAACATTTCCATTTGTCCAGAAGTTCCCGCTGGCTCTTGGTGATCCCTGCCTTCTCCCCATCCTTAACACCTGCTGAGCTCGTTTCTGCCACTGGAGTCGTCGTATTTTCTAGAACTTACTCACTTTGGCCCTAAGTGGTCTGTTTTCATAAGGCTTCTTTTCCTCATACGCACTAATGTTGTATGTATCAACAGGTGTATTTTACTGTATTTTGGGAGTAAAGCTTTATATTATGAATAGACCACAATTTGCTTATTTAGTCACATCTTAATAGAGATTTGGGGTTGTTTCTAGTTTGGGATATTATAAATAAAGCCATTTTGAACATTAGTGAAAAAGTCTTTGGGTAGACATGTGTTTGTTTTTCTTAGGTAAACTCTAGAAATAGAATGGCTAGGTCTGTGGCTGTACTATTTTGCATTTCATGGCTGTGGTGGAACTTAGTTATCCCTGTCCCCCTTTTAGAAATAAAACCTGAGGTCCAAGGACCCCATCAATCCTGCACAAAGAACATGCAGACACAGAAAAAGCAGCTTTTACTTTTGCACAGGGGTTTGTTGCGTGGTCATTCAGATGGAGCAAGCACACCTGGCCTGGAACTTTGATAGATTTTTTATCCCTAATATAAGAGTACTGTGTCTTTTTCCCATTGGCTGGGGTTTGACCCCATAGCCTTTCCTGGTTGGCTAGTTTCAAAGAGTAAGAGCAAAAGAAGGTGCAAGAGAGTTGAGCAAAGAGGGGGAAGGGCTCCACCACCCCAGGCCATCATCTTGAAAATGCAGCAGGGTGAGAGTGTGTGTGTGTGTGTGTGTGTGTGTGTGGGGAGAGGGGATTAAAAGATTAGAATTTCTTGTCATAAACCAAAAGTTTTACAGAGTTTGAAAGAAAACACTAATACTTAATGTTTCTTACACTCTGTAATGTTTGACATGGCTTAGAATTTTAATTAATGACGTACTAGTGAGCATGACATGGAATCCCATCGGGGTTTTCGTTTGCACGTCCTTGATGCCAAAAGGTGTTGGGCACTTTTTGTTTGTCCATTGGCCATATTCTCTCTCTCTCTCTCTCTCTTTCTATGCCTATTCTTTTGGAGATAGGGTCTCTCTGTAGCCCCAGCTGTCCTGAAACTCCCTACGTAGAGCAGACTAGACTTGACCTCACAGAGATCCACGCCTCTGCTTTCAGAGTGCTGGGACTAAAGGCGTGCGCACCACGCCTAGCCGTGCTTTCACTTCTGATGAAATCTGTTTTGAGAACTTTAAGTGGGTTGTTCATATTGCTGAGATGTAAGAGATATTTTATATGCTCCAAATAATGTCTCTTTTGTCACATGCTCATAATATGAATATTTTCTTGAACCTTTTGTGGCTTCTCTTTTAAGTCTTTAAAACATTTTTAATATTGATGAAGTCTACTTATTGTTACTTTGCAAATATTTATTTTATTTTAAATTATATGTGCATAAGAATATGTGCAGGTGCCTATGGAGTCTAGAAGAGGGTGTTGGAGTCTCTGGAGCTGGAATTGCAGGTGGCTGTGAGCCACCCGATGGTCTGGGAACCAAACTTGAGTCCTCTACAAGAGCAGCAAATGCTCTTTACTGTTGAACCATCACTCAAACCCAAAGTCTAACTTATTAAGCTCTTCTCTTATAATTGTTTATTCTGAATATCCTTTGTCTATTCTAAGTCATACTTTTCTCATCCTTATAGAAATTTTGGTTTTGAGTTTTACCTCTAAATCTGTGATCTATTTTAAGTTAATTTTTATATATGTTTATTCCAGCTGAATACCCAGCTATTTTAATCCACTTATCAAAAAACTTTTTCTTCTCTACTGAATTGCTTTACCACCTTTGAAGAATATCAGTCATCTACATATATATCCTGACTCCCTCTTCTGTCCTATTGATTTATATGTTTGTCTCTTAGGCAATACCAACTTGCTTTGATTACTATCAGTGTGTGTAATACTTTTGTAATCAGGTAGGGTACATTTTTCATTTTAAATAATGCATTGGCCAGTCTAGGGCCTCTTTGCATTTCGACATAGGGTTAATGCAAATTTATCAATTTGTATCAAAAGGTTGTTGGAGTTTTAGTTAGGATTGTGTTAACTAGAATTAATCTATGGACTGGGGATATAGCTCAGTGGTAGAGTGTTTCCCCAACATCACCACCACAGTAAGAAGAAGAAACAGATAAAAATATCAAAGCAAGCATGGAAACGAAGAAAACTTTGAAAGATTTTTATTAACTTCTTATTTAGCATACAGAATAATGGTTTTCATGACAATATTTTGTACATATATTCATTTCCCTGTCAGATAAATTGGTGGGGCCCACAAGTAGACAGGGTACAGCGGAGTGGGGAAGCTCTGCTCTGGGTCTCAGATGTTCGCTGGTAACATTTGTCACTTTTAGATTGGTGGAAGCCAGTGATATGTTTTAAAAATACATTTCTTTTAAAAAATATTTCTAATTGTGTGTGTGTGTGTGTGTGTGTGTGTGTGTGTGTGTGTGCATGAGTGTAGCTTCCTGAGAGGCCAGAACAAGGAAGGAGTCAGATCCTATGGAGCTGGAGTTACAGGCAGTTTGAAGTCACTCAATGTGGGTGCTGAGAACTGAGCATGAGTCTTCTACAAGAGTAGTACTCACTTCTAACCACTGAGCCATCTCTCCAGCTTCCAAGATATATTTCACATATTTTTGCCTTGATAGTTAAAAGGACATTAGGTCAAATGCAGAGATGAGCATGCCCAAGCCAATTTGGCTGTGGACCCGCAGCATTCTAGCTTTCACAACCTTGTAGATCTGTCAGCCTCGCAGAATCTTCGACTTAGATGCACCTTTTTTTGAAAACTTCAGTTTACAGCCCACTTTCTTTCTATATACCACACTTCAATAAACTCTTCTAAATATATTCAGTAGACTTTCCCCTTTTCTCTTAGTCTTTTAAAAGAAGAATGTAATTTTGCCATTTGCCAAATAAGAGCTAAAATAGCCAACAGTAACAATTGGTATGCTGATGAGGAGCAGACACCTGCTAGAAGATAAGGGCTCATTGAGCAATGATGGCAAACTCCCAAGGTTAAAAGACTACAAACTGAAAGAGGCATGAATTCTTTAATGCAAATCCCAAAGGGAAACCCTCATTGTAAAAAGACATTTTTGTGACTTATGTTTGTTATGTCTAAAGCTTAGAGTCATTTTTCTTCAGCACACCTTCCTAAGCTGTGCTTTTAACATGAAGATCTGTTTTCATAACAGGAGCACTTGGAGAAGGAGAAGCATCAGAATGACGGGAGGCCTTCCAGTGATAAAATGTTTGATAAGAAACGTAAGTGCTTTTCCTGCAACTGCCACTCAGTTACAGAATTAATGTTGTGTAACTGGGGAAATGGGGAGGGGGCGCTCTTGGGGTTCTTGGTCTTGTTAATAAAAGAACTTAAGAATAGACTCAAAAGGAAGCTTGAGGCCAGTCTTATTAGTGGTTAAAAGAAAAATCCCAGGGCAGGCAAGCTGTGAATCTTCCTAGCTGCCTGGAGGGAGAAGCTGGAGAAGAGAAAGAAAAAGCTGCCAGGTAGGAGGTCAACCCACACCAGGCACAGGAAGACACCCTGCAGCTGGGGGTGGGCTTTAGAGAAGAGGGAAGTCCAAGTGTTAGGAAAGCATGCACAGAAAAGAGAGAGACAGAAAGGAAAAGTTACGCTTTTCCTAAGAATTCAGAAAAGCTGGCAGACTTCTGAAGCTGCATGGCTGTGGCCCAGTGAGGCACAGATGTAGGAATTCTGGGAAGGAAGAGTACTTCATCTCATTTTGGAATAACTATTCCTCCCATTCCTAAGCATGGGGATTTCACCTTCTCAGTGGTAGGTGACCACTTGGCCAGGCAATTGACCAGACCAACTGGATTATCTCTTAAGACAATGGCATGTCTCCACCAGGAGGAGGATTCCATTCTTTTGACCAGAAGAAAATAACTTTCCCTTAGTGGGCTACTGTAACATTTGCATCCTAGTATTCACAAAGACCATGTGAGCTTTAGTTTGGTAGGGAAAATTCTTTACTTTCTTGCATTTTTTACGAGAATTGTTTTTGGAAACCGGCTGTTTAATGTGGTACAGGTGTTAGAATACATGAAAAAATGTGCAACATCATTGCGAGGTTCAGAGCCTCCAGGAGGAAAGCTAGTGTTGCATGTCAGCTGTGAGACTGTCGAGCTGATCTTCAGTAGCACAGACTGAAGCGTGGAAATATATAAAGTAAGAATATTTGGAAAACAGTGCTGATTAGAGATAGTGATTCATATAGCACTCAGATGAAATTGCATACTTTAAAACAGAGTCTATTTTAGGCAGGGATTCTAAGACACCAACACAGAGCTTACCCAAGAACATCTCCATTTCTGTTCCTGGACCCTCTTCTAGCACCCCATCAACAAGTAAGAAGTGATTTCATTTTATCTTTCTCATAAATGCTTTTTCTTTTCAGAAAAATTACAGGGATAATCAGTCTGTTAGATAGAGCTTTTGAGAGCATGTGTTTTTTAATAGTGAAAAGTGAGCGAAAGAGATTTAACCCTTGTGGCCACACTGGGAAGAAGGACAAAGAGACCCCATTCCCTCCACCCCCTACGAGGAGTTCATCTTCAGGGTCCTGAAGGTTAGGGTCTAAGTAGAGTTACTCCTATCTGAGCAGTCCAGGTCATGGTGTGGTCCCGCCCACCACTTAGTCATTCTTGCTTCCTCAGTAAGATGGTCTGAGGAAATCTCTCCAGAAGAAAAGCTCCTGCTCTGGTTCACCCAGGCTTGGGGTTCAGTCTTCTCCCAGTTTGAGAGTCCTGGGGCAATTCTGCTTTCTTGAGGTCCATTGTTTCAACATTCAGTTGCCCAGAGTGAGGGACACAAGTATCTCTTTAGAATATGCTCATCCCTGACAGCCATTCATTTCAAAGCCTCCTCACTTAGAAAACGTCCTTAGCCTTTTCTAGTTAGTTTCTGTTAGCTCTTAATGGGTGGTTTGGGTAAGAGCTACACAAGTCAGCTCAGAGTGAAAGCTTGATCCATCTGGGTTTTCCTGGAAATGGTGGAGTCTGGGGAGGACTTGGGAATTGGAACAGTTAAGGATGAACAATTGTATTTTCCTTCTTTCTGCTTATTACCCTAGGCAAAGAAATCAAGAAATCCAAATTGATTCGAAGCCAGTCTTTCAATAATCAAGGTTTTCATGCAAAATATGGCAACTTAGACAAGTGTGCTAGGTATGGGCTGTCAGCTGTTTGTACTCGTTATTTTGTGGTCACCATATTTACTTATATGAAATATGTACTTCATTGTAATCAGAATTTATTTTGCTTTATATGGATCAATAATTTGACTTTTTTTGGGGGGGTCTTTTTGAGATAGGGTCTCCCTGTAGCCCCAGCTGGCCTTGAACTCACAGAGATTCCCCTGCCTCTGCCTCCCTCCCAAGTGCTGGGATTAAGACAATTTTTTTTGTAAGGGCTATTAAACTAAAAGGAGAACCCTACTGTTTGTATAATAATAGGTATCTTCAATTGTAGGAAGAATGTTACCATGGCATTATATAAGAATATCATAGAATCCACCCATAATTCATGAGGAAGGTGATATATCTTGTATGTGCTCCTTAACTTCCAAATGGATGAGCACACCCCATTGCTAACAGTCTTGGACATGGATGTGCATGTATGTTTCTGCCTACAAAGAAGCTGCCAGCATGGTCACACATGTAACCACCTTAGCGGTTACAGCAGAGTTCTGATAGTGGATGCATGTCTGCTTTCCTTTCATAACCCAAGTATCAGAATTATAACCAGTTAAGATTAGGAGACAAGCAGCATAAATTAAACCGCCATGATTTGTTATGTATAGCATTTGACAGCTGTATGTTATTGGATGAGCAAAGTAGTTTTAAGAAAACATGAAGTTGCCTGCACAAGATCAAGGTAGTCAGCATGGAGGGAGAGAGGTCTGCGAGCCCCACCCTTAACCGAGATACTGGTGACAGCTGGTGGCTTCTGGAGAAGGCAGGGTCAGTCTTCTTTAAGGGTGCAGCCCTTGGTAGGTCAACCATGTTCCAGTGGATGGCCCTGCACTCATGAGTGTATGGACAGCACAAATTGGAGTTGGTGAGCTATTGAAAAAAGAAAAAAAGAGGACACTAAGTTGAGAAGGGCAGGAAGGTAGGGATGGACCTGGAAGGAGTCGGGGGGCGAATATTATCAAAATATGCTATATGAAAGTCTCAAGAAATCAATAAAATAATCTATAAAAAGAAAACATGAATGCCTTTAAATGTGTTCCTTATCTCAGGGTAAAGAACATGTTAAAGAAAAGCATTTTCTGTTATTAGTTGTAACTTATTCCAGATTTTCAGCTGTAGTTTTGGGCATCAGTAGGTCCATGCAAAGTTCCTAGCCACCAGAGTGTTCTCAGGATGGAAAAAAGTACTTGCAGCTAGAGATGAGCTAGTCCCAGAGGGCTCTCTCCAGCCACCCGGCCTGGCGGACCAGCAAAGGGAAACTAGTTCTGATGAAGCAAAGTTGGAGGAAATGCTGTTTAAGTTCTAGAAAAAGTCTGTACTTTGAAGCACGGAATGCATAAAAAAATTGAGAAATAAGTGCAGCAGTCATGTTTTATAGGACCTAGTTGAAAGCATGTACTAAAAGAGATGAAAACAGCCCAGGTATTAGGTAACTGAGACTGAAAGTCTGGTCCTGTGTTTTGACAAAGTGCATTGTTTTCTAGTAAAAGCTCCCTACCAGGACACACACCTGTCTCAGGGCTGCTGAGGACTGCTGTGCTCTCACTTACAGGTAAGTAGCAGCCTATGTTCTTCCCCAAGTGGCTACTTTTACTGAAATACTATTTCCTTTAAATGACTTACTCCTTTAATTCTAGATATGCTGTTTTTCCTAAATGTAGATCTTCATCAGATCCTTAAGAAATTAAAATTTTCCTGTTGGGGCTGGAGAGATAGTGCAGCAGTTAAGAACACTGACTGTTTTTTGCAGAAGACCCAGGTTCGAATCCCAGCACCCACAAGGCAGCAGCTAACAACTGTCCGTAACTCCAGTTCCAGGGGATCCAGCAGCCTCTTCTGACCTCCGCAGGCATTGCACGACATGGGTGCACTTACCTACATGCAGGCAATACATGCATACACATAAAATGAAAATAATAAATAAAATATATATTTTTTTAAACTGCTAAAATTCCTGTTGCTGGGGAAACCGAGGTTCTGTTTTGGGCTTCTTAGTCTTGCTAATAAAAGAATTTAGAAACAGATTTGAAATGAAGCTGAAGCACAGTTTGATTGGAGTTTAAGAGAAAAACAACAGGGTAGGCAAGCTGTGAATCTTCACAGTGACTGGACTTGGAAAAAGCCACATCCTTTCAGTTAAGCCAGCATGGAGGTCAGTCACATAGCAGACAAGCAGCCATATGGGGAGGGGAGCTTCAGAGAAAGAGTAAGGGTGCCCAAAGTACTAGAGAAAGCACACTTCCAGCCAGCACCCAGAAAAAGAGAAGAGAACCAAAAAGGAAAGTTATGCCAGTAGTAGGAGGGGCTTCTGGGAAGGACTAGACCTAATTAATCCCTTATCTCTTATCATGGCTTAAGGTGAACCTGGCTTCCTGAGGGGTGGGGTCCTAGGCCAGGTGACAAGTGGTGTCTGTCCAGTTTCTCAGCCCTGCAGTTGTAGTATGGACTCAGCCGCAGGCACTGCACAGCGAATCTCACATCTCTAAATAGGCGTTTGCTTCAAAATGTACAGTTTGCTGAATGTGGTGTTTCTAGTAGAAGACAGAACTATGCTATGAACAAGCTGGGATATGCTACTAAAAAATTACTTGTGGCTTTTATATTTCTTTCTAACTTTGTGTTTTAGAAATATTAGTTGAAGTTGTGATACTGATTATTTTTAATGTAAGTAATTGTGACCCTTAATTTCAGAGGGTCTAAAATTTTAAGACCCTCTGAAATTTTAAGTGACATTTTTTTCCTTAGGTTTTCTTTTGAGAATTCTATCTTCCCCTCTTACCATGTTCTTTTTAGTCTCATGAAAACTATGTATACTCACTGAATATTATGCAAAGTGTTTTCATTTCCTAGAGCTGAAACTTTTTTCTAAAATAAAAGCATTGGTGTGCACACATAGTACTGAGTAGAACTCTACAGGTGGGATTCTATTATCATAATTATCACAAGACACCTGACGAGCTTTGATAACGAAGGTCTTTGATGATGTCACCAGCACTTCTGGGGGTGCTCTTGATGGTGGGGAGGCTGTGATGGGGAGGGGAACCCAGGAAATGCCTGTCTTTTCCTCATCTGTGGTAGGAGCTTATAGCTCCTAAAATGTAGTCTAGTTTTAAAAAACAAACTAAACCCATGGGGTACTCGTATTAACAACCCTCACAAACCTGAACCTCAATTCTTATCTCACATTGTATAGAAATTATTAATTCACCAGACGTGGTGGTGCATGCCTTTAATCCAGTACTCGGGGCAGAGACAGGTTCAATCTCTGTCAGCCTGGTCTACATAGGGAGTTCCAGGCCAGCTGGGGCTAAAGGGAGACCCTGTCTCAAAAAGACAAACAACAACGACAAAATCATTCAAAACGTAAATTTAAGCATAAAAGGCAAAATTACAAAATTTTTGAAGAAGAGATAGAAGTCTTTGTAATTTGGGAAGAGATATTTATTGTAACCATAGTAGAAAAGTAATAACATATTAGACTTCATCAGAATTTAAAACTTCTGGGCTTGGATTGGGTCAAAGAGAAGACAAGTCAAGGCACAGATCAGGAGAAAGTATTCATAATGTAACACCCTCAAAAGGACCTACATCCAGAGTGTCAAAGAAGTCTAAGACTAGGACTGAAGCTCAGGGTGGACAACAGGTTTACACATGAATTTCAAAAGAAGATGAATAGAAGTCACGGCAGAAATGCCCACCACCACTCATCATTGGGGGCGTGCACATTAATAGCAACAGAAGTCTGGGCGTAGTAGCACACCTTGTGTTCCCTGTACCTGGGAGCTGGAGGCAAGAGGATCAGGAGTTCAGCTCATCCTTAGTCACAAAGCAAATTTGATGTCAAGCCAGGGCCATGTGAGACCCCGTCTTGGAACAAAACCAAACACCAGCAGTGAGGAAATAAACCATACCCCATGACTCTCACTAACATGTCTGGAATGACTCACAGTGTCAAGTGCAAGGACGAGGGTCACTGCCCACTTCCCATACGTACTGTGGTCAGAAATGAGAGGGAAAGGTAGGGAGCGAGAAAAAAGCTGGACGTACTTTGGCAGTGTCTTCTGCAGTTAAATATACCCTTATTAAATAATCTAGCACACCTACTCCTGGGCATTGACTGAAGAAATTAAAACCTATTCACATACAGATTTATACACAAATGTTCATGCAGTTTTGTTTATAATAGTCAAGAACTGAGAGAATCCAAATGTCCATCAGTGAACATCACGGACGAAGTTTAGCATATTCATACCATACCAGTTAGGAATGAAAAAAGAGATACTCGGTTATATCTAATATGGATGAATTTTAAATATGCTGATCACATGAAAAAGTTGAGACAGTATATTCTGTATGGTTGTTTTTGCATGACGTTGTAGAAAATACAAGTCAATCTTTAGTAACCAGCAAATCAGTGGTTTGAAGAGGGAGAGGTGAGAGGAGGAGGAGGGATTGTGATGGGCCCCAAGGGGACATTGGCAATGGCGAGTGAGTGTTTTCACAGGGCCTCATGGGAATGGACATGTCAGACCTTCAGTTAGTACACTAGGTTGTGTATGAGTTCTGCCTTCATAAAGCAGATTTGGAAAAGCCAGGCAGCTTCACCAGCCTTCTGTTGAAGCCTTCTCCATGTATTCAGCGTGTATTCAGCGTGTCTGCCTCTGTGTGCTGCTTTTCAGATGACTCTTTCTGGACTCGCAATGCCAGTAGTAACAGTGTGCCCGGTTCCTTTTCTCCTAACCCTCCCTTACCGAGTACCTCCCGTGGGACAGGCACCACAGCGGATTCAAAGGGTAGTGGAAGTAAAGACGCACAGCCTCGGAAGGCTACCTTGTAAGTACCAAGCCATCCTCAGCTGAGTGTTGTCCCACTCCTCGCTCAGTGATCCTTTCTTCTTACCTACACTCATTCCTGAGAGCAGAGTCTGTCTGTAATGAGGGAAGATTGCAAGATAAAGGGGGTTTTATCGTGGGAGCCTTTGTTGTGATAATGTGTGGGAAATGATTTATATTAATATATGACAAAGACATTGTCACCTTAGGGCATTAACAAAAAGTATCTGAATGGCTTCCACTAATACCCGAGAGCTTTTGTTTTCCTTTGTAAAATGTTTTGTTCAGAAATTATTATCTCTAAGAAGATGCTAGGTATAGTTGCATCCCTTTAAATACCTAGCTACAGTATCCAACCTCTTGGTACTCAGAAAGATGGTTGATACCACTTCAAAACACTACAACAGTACAGAACCCAGAGGTCTGGGCTTAGGAAATGGAACACATTTGTAGACTATACTTGTACTTTAAAGTTGAGTCATAAATGGCCTCTTACCATGGTTCCTTTTTTTTAATGTGCTATTTGCATTTTGCTTGAATTGTTGAAACCTTTGTTTCTTTTATTGGAACATTTAAAAAATATATGTGCATGTATATATAAGAGTTTTACCTGCATGTATGTAAGTGACCCTGTGTTGTACAATGCCCATGGAGGCCAGAAGAGGACGTCAGATCCCCTGGAACTGGAGTTATGGTTGTTAGCCACCATGTGGGCACTGGGAACTGAATCTGGGTCCTCTGCAAGAGCAGCCAGTGCTCTTAGCTTCTAAGCCATTTCTACAGCCCCTCAACTTTGTTTCTTTTAAACATTTAAGAGAATGGTACCCTGATAATCATCACGAGACTATTCCAAGGTGCAAATGATTCAGTCAGAATGCCCAAACAGCAGTGGGGTTTCTCTTTCATATAGAGCACCAGTTCTAACTAGAGCAGGATTCAGATTTCCTTTGAATTCATAGATCTCTCTCTTCTCTCTCTCTCTCTCCCCCTCTCTCCCTCTCCCTCTCTCTCTCCCTCTCCCCCCCCCTCTCCCTCTCCCTCTCTCCCTCTCCCTCTCCCTCTCCCCCCCCCACTTCCTTTGGTTTGTTCCTGAGACAGGGCTCACTGTGTAGCCTAGGGTGTCCTGAGTTTGAGAGTGTTCTGCCTATATCTTTGAATAAAATCTTCACCTGCTTTTTTTTCTGCATAAACTCTGCTGGAGTTCCTTATAGGAGCTGAGTATGTTACAATTCATTTTAATTGGCTATTGAGTCTGCACAAATAGAGATGTCTATACCTCATTTCATTCAGAATTTTAAAAAATGAAGGTATTGAATGGAGCTAAAAAGAGAATGGGATTAAATACTATAAAAATAAGAATAGGAAAAGGCTATTCCAATATTGCAATATAGTGTTGTTAATTTGAAGGGTGCCCTTTCTATAGAAAACACTCTTCCCTTGTACAGTTACTGTGCTAGTGATAGTGAGCACACTCCCAAAGCTCCATTTAGAAACCTTAGGAACAGAGATTGCACAGGGCGGTGCTCTCCAGAGCTCTGGGCTGGAAGCCATGTGCCCAGCTCAGGTAGCAGCAAAGTAGCTGTGTGTGGTTCAGCCTGGCCCTCAGCCTCTCTGCGCCTATCTGTCAAATGGGAGGCACACAGCTTATCTCCTAAGGGGCATTTCAGTGCCCCATCCTGATGTCTTTCCCCTCTATCACCCTAGACGCTATTCCTCGCAGAGGCCAACCCAAAGGTCTCCTGAGGACCACAGTGGCATCATTGTAAGCAGTGTCTTCTTAGCTGACTTTTCCAGATAACAGAGCATTTTTTTCAATATTCCGTGCCAGCCTTCTTTATTTCCAATACTTTGCTGAGTGTATTTTCCTTTTCATAGACTGAATTTCCTGTTTTCTTATACAACCGATGGTTACCAAAATGAAACTAGAGTGAAGGCCAGTGACATCAGCTTTGTTCCTTCTTTCTCAAGCATTCTTGAGAAGGGTTGCTAGCACCCGCAGTTGCATCCTCACACATGCCTGGCAGTGAAGGACTCGCAGGAGTGTGTGCTGCTCCCTGGCTGGATGGGTGGCAGGTGACGGCCTTGGTCTTTCTGTCTGTGTGGAATATTATCCACAGTTTAGAGCTGCGCCACATCCAAATGGAAAAGTCTTCATTATGAAAATAAGCTTCCGAAGTGATGGCAGAAATGGTTATCTCAGTTTTCACTTCTCACAACAATCTGTGCAGTGTATTTTCCTGCTCTACCAAATGGCACATCTGCTATTTATAATGAATAATGTCTTAGAGGAGGTGCAGGTGCACATTAGCGCATGTCTTCTAAGGTTGAGTTGCTCTATCTATGCCTATGTAATTCCATCATGGTCATATAAAACGGAAAAAGTAGGAAAGGTTGGATGAATCAAATGCAACACTACCTTAGATGTGCACATGATGTTTTTGGTAATTATAGGTAATTCTGAGTAATCTTTAATGTGTGATTTGTTTTCCCTTTATCAGGATTCTTGTATATTATTTATTTGAAGTAGCTAACTTATGTGTGTTTACTTTTGTAAGCATTATATGGGTAGTTTCTTACGTTTTCTCTTTGGTCCCTTCTTCCTTCCCTGCCCCTTTTCCTCTTCCTTCCTTCTTATCTTCAGAAAATCTAGAAAATCCAACCCCTAAGGCACCTGCGTGGTGAAGGAGCACAGACAGCTGGAGCATCGTGACGGATGGCAGAGCTAAAGCCAGGGCTAGGGCTGTTATAAAGTTCCTTTTTTATGAATGGGAAAGAAACATAATGGCAGCTGATGTTAAACTTAGCGTATTTAGAATTAGATTCCATAGGAGGAATGTTTCATTACACAATGTGGGTTCAGAATTCCAGTGTCACAGTGTCACAATGCAGTGTAGTGAAACCTGGTTTCAGGTGTTTACTGCTGCAAGAGAGTCAAGCCTGCCTTTGTGTAGGAAACCGGCTGTTGAATTATTCTAGAGTTTTAGCATTTAGGAATTCTGTAACAGTCTAAATTAGCTGGCTGGCCCTTGGGTAGTTACTTGGGCAACGACAGGGAAGGGAAGGACGTCACTGCATTTTCTTATAGCTCTCGAAGCCCAGCAGTGTTCAGTGGGTCCTGTGACTCTGGTGACAGTATGCAGGACTGGACATTCCCCAGTTTAGATTTGGCAATGAAAATCCTGCAGATTCCTAGTAAATCTGAGCTACAGATACCTTAAAAATAATACATTGATGATTTCCTTAATTTCCTAGAATTTCTTTTATAAATACTTTGTTTATATTTTAGGTTGCATAAAATGTCTGTCCTTACTTAATTTCAAATGATGAATCTGGTCTGAATCAGCTGTTGTTCCAAGCTATCATGCTTAAGCTCTGTCAGCAGCATTTATTTGTATTAATGCTAACACTTCCATCAAAATTTGCCTGTGGAACATATATAGTCCTTAATTCAACAAATGTCAATTCCCGAGATAGACTGTATGAAGCTTTTGTCAGCTTCTCTATTCCAAAATGCAGTCAGCATATAAATACATTGATATTAGAAAACATTTGTTTTTAAAAAAATATATTGATGTATGATAAAGATGATCTAATTTGTGAATGCATATGTGTGTGGTTACTTTTTATAATGTGAAATGGATAATGAATGTACTTAAAATAAAACATAGGTATAATGGGATACCTGCACTTGTGAAGAAAGTTTTAAATACTTTCCTACAGTCCTTGTTCCATAGAAGACAGTTCATTTTAAATAATGAATATTGTCAACTGTAAATGACTCGGGGCAATTGCTTAATGAGAGGCTTTTTTGTGCCTTTGACTTCCCTTTCCTTTCTCGTGGCCTCATTTGGGCAGTGTTCAGAGATTCGTAACACCCTTCATCAAGGACAGTCAGATCTGAAGTGAAAATCCAGAAGCCACAAGGAATTTGACAGTCCCGCTTCAAGAAACTCAGTTAACAAGTTTATGTCTCCTACTAGCACCGGTAGTGAGGAACTGAGTCTGCTGCAGTCTGGAGAGCTCCTGGTGCGACGTGGGACATCAGAGTTGCATCTGTCCTCAGCACTTTGACTCACAGTCGACACTGACACTGTTACTTTAAATAAAATAGTTTCAATTTAATTGTTAAATAATGAACTTAGTAGTTATGATCTTTTTATATTTCCATTATGTATGTGGGAAAGGAAGATAGGATTTGACAGAGAAAACTCAAGTTTGAGAATATAGAGAAGCCATTTGCCTAGGCATTAAATTCTCAATTAAAACAGTTAACCAAAATTACTTTTGGAAGTATTTTCTTCACAAGCATAAAAAACTTCTAAAATTTTTGACTCTTTGTTCATATTACTCCTCTAGGGACGGGTGTGTGGAAACAATAAAAAGCAAATTGGTGACAGATGGGAATGTTGGCACACATCTTCATTCTCACCTAAGCTGGTCGTCCTGGCAGTCTCCTATAGCTAGGTGCGCTGACAGAGAAAGCCCAGCTCTACATGAGGTCACGGTGACCTTTCTGTGCCTGGATTCAGACCATGGTGTACTCAGACATTGCAGAAGTGAGAAAGGGGCCTGGACGATCTTCATCCCTCTTTTACTATTTTCCCACAATCACACCTCACGGACTGAACACATACATTTAAGAATACCAGTTAGAGCTAGCCCTCAATATCTGTCTCTCTTTCTCGGCCCAGAGTTTTCCAGCCCTCAGTGAATGTTAGTGCCCCTGGAGAGGCGACACGAATGAACCAGTGTCCACATTGCTGAGTAACAGAGTCAGCTTCACACTGCCTCTCCGTATCACCTCCAGTGCACGTTAAACTTGGTTCATAGTAGTAATCAAGATAACTAGTCAATAAAGTAATTTTAGTATGTGTATATATTAGATAGCAGCAGATATAAGTGCAATTAGGCATTTAGTTAACAGCCAACATTTCCAAGATTAGTTAGCTCTGTTTAAGAATCTCTGAATTAGGGGCTGGAAAGATGACTCAATGGTTAAGAGCACTGGCTGCTCTTGCAGAGGACCTGTGTTCAGTTCCCAGCACCCACATGGCGGCTAACAGCCATCTGTACCACTGAACTAAAATAAAGCTCTCAGAGGACTCTATGCCCTCTTCTTGTCTCTACAGGCATTACATGATACAGGTGCACTTACATACATGCAGGCAGAGTCTTCATACACATAAAATTAAATTTAAAAAAAGAATCTCTGACTTGCTCCCAGAGTATGTCTTATTTCTATAACATAGAAAACAGCTACCCACAAATGCTTTGGAGGCATCAGCTATTCTCCTTCAAATATTGGGACAAAGTCCTTGCTTCTGTTTAACAGCAGTGGGTGACTGAGGTGAAGGCCTGCTGCCTGTTTAGCAGGACCTGATCAGATGCTTTAGAGAGAGGGAGAGGAAAGAGACAGGGCCTGGGACTAGACTGAGAGGCATGCCTGGCTCCCCATCTCACTCTGAGCAACCTTGGGCAAGTGTTCTCCTTCCACTGAGATACAAGGTTTGACCTGTTCATAATATGTAGCCAGCACTATAGTCAAGGCCTTCCATACGGAAAGGCCCCTGAAGGTGATTTGTTACTTAGCAGTGAGCAAGACGTGCACTTTGCATTGGCAGAAGGTGAATATAATTGAGACTGCATTCATCTTTATACCGAGGCAGTTATAAAATGTAGTTGTATATTTACATATAAATATATCAAGCCTTATAAAGGGAACAAGTGCACAGAGCTAATGTGCTTGTCATCCATGAAAGTCATGATGTGGCCCTGGCTCTGGCCCCTGTTTGCTTTCTTTCTAAAATGGAAGCATTGAACTGAATGATCTATGGTTACATGCTTCCTCTGCATAGTGACAGATGCTTCAAGGAGCTGAATGGACAACATCGAGCCAGACGCTGTGATCAGGATCGGCTATGGTGAACTTAGTCTGAAAGAAAGAATTCTGTGCTGACTAAAAAATACTTTTTAAAAAACACAAATAATTCTGGGCTAAACTGAAATAAAGCTCTTATTTTACACTAGAGGGAAGTAGAGGGGGAGAAGCATGACTGAGGGAGAATGTTTGCGTCCTCCCCAGAGGATTTGTTCTGTGCTAGCGCCCCTGCTTACTGCTCCCATCCCTGCTTTGGCATGTGGGCAGCACAAAGAGGTAGAGTACTCTACCCAGCCGGCGTTCAGTCAGCACAGGCTCTCAGAAACAAGGGAAAATGCTCGACAGACTGCATAGACATCTCCTTAAAACGTATGTTAGTTTAATTTTTGTGTTAATCAGAGAACAGCCCAAACAGACTGGCTGGATCCAGGGGCCACCTTCCTTCACCGTCCAGTGTCAGTATCCCATGGTGCAGACGCCTCGGGGGCAGCACCTGCCATGGCTAGAGCTTATGCATGCCTGAGTCACAGGGCAGTGGGGTTCACCACCCTGCCCAGAAACAGGAGCATCTTGGAGGTCTCCTCATAGATCATGAAGTGAAATGGCCGGTCCACTTTGAGGACGGGAGGCATGGAGTAAGCAACAATCTCTGACAGCGTCCCTGCCACTGCCTCGGTTCCTTTTTCATCCACCTCAATCACTGATTGCTGCAAGACCTAGAAAAGGAAACGATGTGAAAGACTGTTTGTGTAGCCCCGGGGCGAGGAAATTAACAGACATTCTCTGCAGTGGCTCTGCCCATATGGCCATGCTCCCAGGGATCAATGGTGCAGGGCCTGTCAGTGCAAAGAGACGTGTGAGATTGTATCAGAGGCCATGTCAGAAATCAGTATCAGGAGGCCATGGGAAGTGATGTGGAGTATGTGAAATATGTTCTGGGCTTGGAGCCAGGCGTGGCTGGCAAATTTCTGCATATAGGCATTAATAAATATTTATTGAGCATATGCCTTGTGCTACTAATTCTTGAGCTGAGATGGTGCCCCAGACGGTGCTTCAGCTGTCTGGTGCTACTCTGACACCCTTCTTGGGACAAGCCTGAGCGTCTGTAGAGACTTCCTGGACCCTGGTGGACTGTACTCAGGCCAGGATAACCCTGCTGGGCCCTACTTAAGTGGATGCCATTTTATTTTCTAAAATATTTTTATTTTTATAAGCTTTACTTGCATGCATCTAAGCACACCAATTATGTGCAAACTGTGGAGGCCAGAAGAGGGTGTTGGATGCCCTAGAACTGGAGTTATGGATGGTTGTTAGCTGCCATGTGGGTGCTGGGAACAAAATCTAGGTCCTCTGGAAGAATAGCAAGTACTCCCAACCACCGAGCTACCTCTCTAGCCCTTGGATGCCATTTTAAATCTCTCTCGGAATTGAAAATCACAATTGTATGGGAAAATGTGAACTAAACCTCACAGTCAAGGAAGATGGTAGTGAGAGGTAGCTGGTACTTGGAGGTGTGTGGAGACCTTTTCTCAGTTGTGATGGTGGGGGAGAAAGGGGTTATTACCAGCTTTAATGAACAGTACCAGGAGTGCTAACCAGTTCACTGACTGCACAGAACTGGGAGAACCAGGAGCACTTCCCCTGAGAAGCACTGAGTGGGAGCTACCACAGAAGATCAACTACACCTTGCCCCTGCCAGAAGGAAGTCAAAGGACCAGGTGGGCCCAGGCAGCTCAAAGAACCTTGTAGAGGTAACAGCTCAGCTCAAAATTCAGTAGCACAAAGTATGTGCTTAATATAGCAGACGTTGGACAAACTTGTTCTTAATAGTTTCAGAGACAGTATGACCAAAAAGTGTTAGTTGGAGAACTTACCGACAGTGCATTGAAAAATAATTAGCCACTTGTGGATTGGGCAGCTTTTCAAACAAAGGATGAGTTTCTGTCTCTGGGAGTATCAGAGGGAGAGGTACAGAGAGAAAGAGGGAAAAGGGGAGGACAGGGAGAGGAAGAGCAAGGAGAGAGAGAGCCAGGGGTATTCTGTAAGGCTAATTAGAGGGGGTGGGGTGTCTCCACAAGGATGGGAGATTGGGCCAGATGATGTCTGGGGTGTTTTTTTATACCCTAAACTCATGAGCCCTTTCGACATTCAACATAGGGGATGGTGAATTGTAAGCCAGTCTGTATCTGGGGCAAGTGTCTCCTTGAGCTTTGGGAGAGAAGAGAGAGAGCTCTACTGATGAGAACCTAGTTAAAAAGGTGTTTTGAGTAATGTGGCTTGAGATTCTTGGAACACCCGACTTGGATGCTACTTCAAGTTGTAAGAATTTAAATCTAATTCTCTACCTCAACCAGACATTTAATCACAGTTACGTAGGCTGAAAAGTACTTGTTGGTTTTAGCATCCTTGCATGCTGAGGACTGGGTCCCTACACAGTTCCTGACTTGCCTTGGACACCTGAAGATTTCTTGCTGTGGCTGAGAGTTCGCTGAGGTCAGCCAAGGTCGAGAAGATTCTCCTGACTCCCATCTGTTTGAGCAGCTCATGCATCTCATATTTTTGGTCCAGTTTGAACTTGGGAAAGAAAACTTCCATTTTCCTGTGGTACAAGGACAGATAATGGTGAAATACAGACAAAAGCCACAGCTGGGGAATGCCCACAGGGATGCACCATCTTTCCTACTTTTCCTTCCTCTGAGGTTTGTTTGCGTGATCGTGTCTCCTTAAGTTGACTGTGTATAGCTCTTGTGATTCTTTCACAATGGTCCAGCTCAGAAAAACACGTCTGGCTTATGAAACATCACTGTGTCAGAATCAGTTTCTTTTTAGCAAAGAATGTCAAACTTGGTGTCCATTTCCCTGTGTTTAGAAAACAACCAAACCCTAGCTGTTTCCTCCCTGCAGACCCAGTTCCCAGCCCAGCACCCCCAGACCTCAGTGCTCCCAGGAGAAGCCTAGGAACCTGGGGATGGCCAGGCACAGGGAGCAAAGAAGGCTTTCAACCAACCCTACCATACTGGAGTTCTCTGAGAATATGAGGCTTGGAAAGATGAGTTTTGTGGCTCAGAAATAATAAAGTTTGAAAACTACTAATTGGCACCAAATTAATCTTAATTTCCTTTTTTTTTTTTTTAACTCTGTGAGGTGTGGCTAAAAAATACCAGTTTCAGAGCTGTTGAAAAGAATGATCCGTGCATGCTAAGTGGGCAGCAAAGGCCTCACAAATACAAATTCTCTCTCTCTCTCTCTCTCTCTCTCTCTCTCTCTCTCTCTC